CATAAATATTTGAACAGGGGTTTCTTATGGAGTCCATAAATAAGTGAACTGGCCCAGTTTGCTTTCTGTTGCATCTTAGTTGTATTCTTTCAACACAGAACCATGTTACTTTCATATCAGACAAATAGAAAACGGCCCAAATGAAGCTCCATCCACATCTAAAATCTCCAAGAACAGAGTACATATTTGAGTATACTAGGATATGTTTGTCCTCTCAAAGTTGTAGAAAGAGATAGGCCCAAGGCAAGGCTAGAGACAAAAGGCAGAGACCAGACTTACAAGAAGGCAAAACCCAGAAGAGATTAGAGCTCAGGACAGGACTGGGCATCCAGTCAGGCAAATAGAAGTGAGGACACCCCACTCAGTACCCAGTAAAAAAAATGAGAGATAAGGGCTAGGCCTTGGAATACCCACAAATTTAGGAGGTTAAGGGAGGAAGAGAGAATGTGTCTTGAGAGGAAGAAGGAGAGCCAGAACAATGTCATTGTAAGGAGTTTGAGAGAAGAAAGTTTCAAGCACAGAGGAGGTCAGCAGACTCAGATGCTGCAAAGGAGAAAGAGGAATGAGACTAAATCATTGGGTTTGACACTTAGAAGTCGTTGTTGACTTTTCAATCTTCCATGAGAGCAACTGGACAATGTGTGTCAAGAGTTGGAAAAAAATATACACTCTTTGCCCCAATAATTCCACTTTGGGCAATCTTGCCAAAGAAAATAACCCTAAACTTGGAAAAGTTATCTGCATGAAGATGTCTGTTACAGAGTTATTAAGAAGGGAGGAGAATGGAAATAGCCTAAATGCTCAAAAATAAAGTGTTGAACTAAATTATGTTCATTTGATGGTATATTAAATAGTCATTTAAAAAATATAAAGTCAGCTTTTAAATACCATTTCCAACTAAAGGGAGTAAGATTCTCTTCAAGAAATGACTGATTACAGGTCTGCAGCAGGGGAAGCACAAGTTGAGTCTGGAATATCTGGTGTGAGAAAGCAAGTAAGTGCTTAAAGATTGATGGGACTAAGGCAAAAGGACACAGAAGCCTTTTGGAAGGTTCCTATTAGCCATATTTGGGACAATTTGAGCATCAGAAAGAATGATGATGGTGGGGCCAGCCCAGTGGCGTAGCAGTTAAGTTTGAGGGTTCCACTTCAGTGGCCTGGAATTCGCAGGTTCTGACCCCTGGCACAGACCAACGCACCACTTGTCAAGCCATGCTGTGGCAGCGTCCCATATAAAGTAGAGGAAGATGGGCATGGATGTTAGCCCAGGGCAAATCTTCCTCAGCAAAAAGAGGAGGATTGGCAGATGTTAGTTCAGGGCTGATCTTCCTCACAAAAGAAAAAAAAGAGAAAGAATAATGGTGGTAATGGATTATATCACATTGAATAAAAGAAAAAAAAGAATTTTTGAGACCATGGAGATGAGAGAGAGAGAGAAGAAGAAGGAGGAGGAGGAGAAGGAGGAGGGGAGGAAGAGGAAATCTTCTTTACAGAAAAATGCCAGATAATAAATGCAGAAGAAATGACAGAATTAGAGAGTCACCATTTTGCAATCCCCAGTGTAATAACAAATGCAAGCATAGATCATCAATGGAAACTAAAACCACTGGGTAAAACAGTGTTGGAAGCAAATAGTCAAAAGGTCTTAGCACACCACAGCTTACTTTACATTGTAAAATGGAGCTATCTGACAGATTCCAACCTAACCAAGTGATCAAGCCTAGCATCACCAATAAAGGGACAAATGTGCACTATTGGCCTGCCAGTGTGACACACCGGGAAGTCCACAACATCCCCTTAATAGTGGTCTTTTCAAAAATGTTTAACCTGAATCTAATCATGAGGAAACTATGGAAAAATCCAGAATGTAGGACATTCTACATGACAACTGCCCTGGACGCTTCAAAACAATCAATGTCATGAAAAACAAACTAGTAACATTAAAATGGGGAAATGTTCAAGATTAAAAGAGACTAAAGAAACTTAAATAAATGCAATGCAGGAACCTTGATTAAATCCTGAATCAGGACAAAAAACATACATATATAAAAGACATTTTGGGGGGAAAAATGGAAAAAATTTAATATAGGCTGTCTAAAAGACAATACTATTATGAATGGTCTTACAGGCCACAGAAGAATTCCTAATTCTTAGGAAACGGCTGCTGAAGTATTTAGAACTGAAGTGTCATGATATTTGCAACTTGCATCAAATGGTTAAGGAAAAGAAGAGAAAGGGATAGAGCAAATATGGCAAAATGTTTAAAAGTAATGAATCTAGGTGAAGGGTATACAAATTTCTGCTGTACTTTCTTTGAACTTTTCTGTAGGTCTGAATGTGTTGTGTTTTTTTTTTTTTGCTTGAGGAAGATTAGCCCTGACCTAACACCTGTGCCAATCTCCCTCTACTTTTTATATATGGGTCTCTGCCACAGTGTGGCTGATGCTCCAAACCTGCGAACCCGGGCTGCCGAAGTGGACCACACCAAACTTAACCACTACGCCAGGGGGCCAGCCCTCTCTGTAGGTTTGAAATTTTTTGAAAAAGAAGTTGGAAGAAAATAAAGCTTACATAATAAAAATGGGGAAATTATGCAATATTAGGTGAAAAAATATAGATGTAAAACTGTGTACAGCACAATTACAGCTGTATAAAAATGGGAATGAGAGAAATTATATTTATTCATTTCAACATTTGTTAAGCTCCTGCCACATGTCAGGCTCTGCACTAAGTCATGGGAACATCCTGCTCCCCCTCAGAATCCTGATTCTATGGAGTAATGTTTAACATGCTCAACATGCAAGGCTTTGGATCTGACAAACTCCACCCAAGTTTCAAAGGAGCCTTGCTGTGATGGCCTCACCTCTGCATCCTTGGTTCCTAGCAAGCTGCCTGGCCTATGAGATGCTCAACAATGCCTGCTTCCGGAAGCCTACACTCTGGTGGCGGAGAAAAGTGCATTAACAGATCATTTAAAACAAGAGTAAGTACATGGTGCACCCAAGGTATTATAGCTCTTTAATTATAATTTAAATTCTACCTTTATGATATCCTCCCCCCTTGTCATCCAACTTTATTTCCTACTCTTCTCCACTATGAATCCTCCCATTTTTTAGGGCATGGTGGTTCTCACCTCAATGCCTTTGCTCAGTTCATGTTGACCTCCTAGCTTGGAATGACCTTACACTTCTTTGCTTCATCTGTCCAAATCCTACCCAGCTCGGGTCTACCTCCTCCATGAAGCCTGCCCTCTTTTGTGCAGACTTGATTGATTCCATTCCTCTAAGCTGTCAGCAGCCTAACTTTGTACTTAAACACATGTGGCTTCATTTGACACTTACCATTGTAAGCATTTTACAATTTTCAAAGTCTCGCCATATCCATCATCTCCGCTAATCATCACACAACCATCATCATGCCCTTTGCAGATATAAGGAAAGTGAGAATCGGTGGCGTTGAGGACCTGGCCCAGAGATCTGACTAACACCGGCAACTGTTGGACTCCTGAGTCAGACACCTGGTGATTGAAGAACGGATTATCTGGACCATTCTTCTGGTATTTATTATCTCTAAGTCTACCTTTGCATTGTTACTCAATTTTTTAAGCTACACATTTTTACAATGTGCATAAGGTATTTCCTCTATTATACTTCATGAAACCAGGTACAATTTCAGATATTTCAGTATCTCCTACAACCCTCCTTCTCAAAAAATCCCCAGGAGATTCGTGTTCACATTAAAGTTTGAGAAGCACTGTCCTATAACACTAACTAGAATATGCACAAAGCAGAAACTCAAGAAATATTTTGAGACCTGGGGCCCTGGGAATCCCAGGGGATTCTCAGTTTTGCCATTACCTCCATCTCTACTCCCCCAGCTTCAAGCGCCCTTCCCTTTGGGGCCTCACGTGGCTCTTTGCTCCTTCACAAGGCAGATAAAAATCCAAGGGTGAGGGAGACAATGAGGCAGTGCCCAGGGGGATGATGGTGAGGCGAAGCTGCTGCCTTCGCAGCAGAGCCAAAAGCGCATGTTGGTGTCGGCTTCAGGGCTACAACATTTCTGGGAAGAAATTAGCTTTATTTCTAAGACAAAAATGCCTATCGCTTGAACATTCCAGCCTCGGGAGGATAAGGGGTTTGTGATAGACAACATTGGAACTGTTTCTAGACTTGATTTATTGACTTGTCTGTTTCTATTCCGTCACTGATCTGATTGACAATGAAACCCGAGATGTGACTTGAAGGGATTTCTGCGTGCGTGCGCGCTGCCGTCAGGTGGGTGGGCCTCTTCGGAGCAGGTGCGTCCGTGGGTGGGAGGCGTTTGTGCAAGGGCTGTTTGCATGTGAGGAGGGCGTGTGTGGAAACGACACGGGAGAAGTGGGTGCCTCTAGGGAGTTGATTGTCTGTGATGTGAGATATGTCTGCCTGGATGGGGAAGCAATGTGGGTTCGAGTATGTGCGGTGCGAGCAGTGGATGGGAGGAGGTAGGTGGGGCTCCCAGCATAACACGCGGGAGGGGGTAGTTACAGACATCTTTCAGAACAGCCCCTTCTCTCACCCTCCCTAGCTTTTCTTCCTAGGAGATTCCCAGTTGGGAGGCCTTGGGGGAGGGGAGAGGAGGGGCTGAATGCACCCAAGGGCTGGGAACTCAGGAGTCGGAGGGCTCGCCTCTCGGCGTCGCGCGCGATCTAGGAACTGGGGAAGGGGAACAGATGGGGACAGGTGCGCCCCCACAGGAGCACGCGTGGCGCCACGTGGAAGATTCATCCTCAGTCCAGGAGTCGCATGCCCTGCCCTGGGGTTGCCCACTTCACTTGTCGTGCGTCCACTCTTCTCTGCTGGAGCCGGAGGAGGTGGACCGGGTTAGGGAGCGGAACCCCGCCCCTCCCTTGTTACTGACGAGCCCCGCCCCCTCCCGCCCGGCGGAGCTCCGCCCCTCCCCGCTCGCGCCCCCGCCCCCCGCCCGGCCCCAGCGCTCGGCTGGTTCAGTCGGGCTGGCCCCATGTTACTGAGCGGAGCTCCTCCGGCGGGCTCCGGCCCCGGGCCGCGGGCGCAGGGCAGCGCGGGGGGCGGCCCGGGGGGGTCGCGCCGGGGCGCCGGGGGTGCTGGAGCCGGCCCAGGAGGGGGCAGCAGTGGCGGAGTAGCCAAGTGGCTCCGGGAGCACCTGGGCTTCCGCGGGGGGAGCGGCGGCGGAGGTGGGGGCAAGCCGGCGCCCCCCGAGCCAGACTACCGCCCCCCTGCGCCCTCCCCGGCCGCGCCCCCCGCGCCACCGCCGGACATCCTGGCCGCCTACCGGCTGCAGAGGGAGCGCGACTTCGAAGACCCCTACTCCGGGGGGCCGTCCGGCTCCGCTGCCCTAGCCACCCCCGCCGTCCCCGGCCCTACACCGCCCCCGCGCCACGGCTCGCCCCCCCACCGCCTTATTCGGGTCGAGACCCCTGGCCCCCCAGCGCCCCCTCCCGAGGAGCGGATCTCTGGACCTCCCGCCAGCAGCGACAGGGTGAGTGCGGCGCCGGGTGGGGTTGGCCAGGAGGAGAGATGGTCGGAGGTCTGGGGCTTTCGAGAGGGACAAAGGTGGCCTGGCCGGGCCCTGGCCCCTCAGGGTCACGGTTCCTGGCGGACACGATCTAAGTCCCTGACCCCAGGGCTCGGAGCCTTCATTCACCTTTGTTCAGATTCTCGCCCGACTAATCTGGGACGTTCTCCCCAAACTCTGCCTTTATCACCCTGTTATCGCCCGGGACTGGTGACTCCCCCTCCCGGGCTCTGCTCTGCTCTCCTCATTGCAGGCCTGCACCCCCACCCCCCATACCAGCCTCATCAGCGAGCCTTTTTCTAACGGGATTTGAGTCCCCTCCCTCCCCCAGTTTATGGCCTTTCTGCCCTCTTGGGAGCAGCAGCTCACTACCCTTTGATCTCTGACCCCCCTACCCACCAGGGCAGAGCCAGCACAAAGCTTCACTCCTCCTCCTCAGGGAGCCCAAGCATCCTTGCCGGTGCTGAAGCCCTAGGAAGGAGGCAAAAGCTGGAGTTTCTCCCTGTAGACACAGCAAGACCTGGCCTTTGCCTTACCCAGTGGGACTGGAGCCTGGTGGACTGTTGTTCTCGGGAAGCTAGAACAGGCAGTACGCAGCTCTTCACCAAGGATGCTGACCAGTGTGGTCCAGGCAGTTCCACTCCTGCGCTCCTTTCCTTGTCCCCCCAGGTATGGGGACAGTCAGTGCTCAGAACCTGTTGCCCAGAAGAGGCTAAGCCGCTGAGCCCACTCCTCCTCTCCCCTTGGCCTCCCCTTCCCCAGGGCCATTCTGAGGGAGGCTGGAGCCTTTCAGGATCTGCGGGCTTGGGGTAGAGAGGAGAGCTGGACGGTCACTGTTTCTGAGAATATTCACTGGGCCTCAGAGGCCCCCCTTGGGGAAGCCACCCCCTGCCCAACCCTAGTTGGACCTTATCCCTGCCTGACAGCTGAAAGCCATCCCCAGGCCCCTCTAGCCTTAAATTCTATGACGATGACTCTGTGGGCCACTCTGGCTTTGTTGTCCCTCTCCACTCACGCCTGGGAGCTCAGCTCTGGGGCTTACTCCCCTCTTCTCAGCAGAGAACACAGTTTTATTTAATTGGAGAGCAAAGTTGCTGTCCGAATCCGTTGGCTCCAAGGTTGAGGCTTTGAGCCGAGAAAACACCGTAGTGCCGTTCTGCCCAATTTCCTGGATAGGAGAAATGTGTTAGGGTCAGAGCAGAAGCCTCAGGAATGTGAATTATTTTTCCTCTAGTTTCTGCCATGGGGCATGGCTGCCCATCCTGGGCCAGGATCTTTAGCCTGCAGAAGGAGTCTATGCTTTCTTCGCATGTCCTTGGGCTCCCGTCCTTCCTAATTGTCCCCCACTGTTGGGTGATGTGATAGTGGTGGTGGCAGTGAGACAGAGGGAGTGTTAGGCCTTGTTCTTACTGTTAACCAGTCTCCTCCTACGTGAACGCCACCCGTCGGCACATGAGCCTGAGCTGTCCCTGGCCCTCCTCCTCTCTGCAGTGTCTTGGAATGGCCTAACAGGTTGCCCACCAAGCTGTAGGCTCCTCCAGGACAAGGACCATGTCCTCCTCATGTCTCTGTCTCCAAAGTGCCTGACACAAAGCTTGGCATAAAGGGGGTGCTTAAATACATCCCGAATGGTGACTGTCCATTGCCAGGGTGACCTGAGGGTCAGAGACTCCCCTAACTACAATTCCCCTGTATGTTTCCCCACAGAGACCCCCAAGGAATGAGTTGTGCCCACACAACCATGCAGAGACCCACATCTCTTCTCACCAAGGGCATCCATGCCTCACCCTGGGTCGACTCTGTGATCTGTGGGCTGTTCATACCTTGGGGGCCGAGAGGTGTCTGACTCCTCTGTCAGCATCAGGAACAGGAATGAAATCCAGCAGGCTCTCCCAGGAATCGCACAATATTTGGTTTCTTTAGTGAGTGTGATGAGAAGGACCCAGGATGCCATCTGAGCTGGCCCAGGGGCAGGGATGCTGTCTCCATGAGCCCTGACCTGGGGCCTCCCACCATTCAGAGAGAGCAGCTCCACCTCTTTAGGAGCAGAGTTTGGGGGATCCCAGAAGCTTCCCTTAGGAAGAGCCCAGACTGGGTACCTGAGCCCCTTATGCTAAACCCGAGTGTCCCCACATACCTGCAGAGCTCACACAGGGTTGCTGCCCCTGGTCGGTGAGCCGGCCTGGCCCCGGCCCCCAAGGCCTTGCTGAGCTGGTGTTTCTATTCTGTATGGCTGCTTTCTCGCTATTCTCTGTACTCCCTCCACTCAGCCCTGCAGGTCCTCTTGGCTTATTGCTTTTGGGTCACTTCCTGAGGTGAGATGGGAACTGAGGACCAGGATGTGCCTCGGGCTAGCCCATTTTTCTCCTCCTGGAGCCCAGTGGCTGGTGCTGGATCGGTCAGTACCCTCTGAGAGGGGCTGGGTCAGAGATTTGATGAAATGGGTGGAAATGCTTCTGTGATGAGGCAGAGAGATTGAGGGGAAATGAGCCCAGTGAATGTAGGGGCAGGAGAGAACGGGGACTTAGACAAGACCCTGAGAGGCCCAGGGGGGTCAGGACCATTAGCCTTCACCCCAGGCCGGGCTCTGGCTGCTGGCCCACTCTGAAACCCACTGCTGCAGTTGGCAGGGGTGCAAAGGTGGCCATCTGGGCAGGCCTGGCAGGGCAGGTGTGGGAGCAGCAGGAGCTGCGCCCTGCACCAGGCAGGCAGGGCCTTGCCATCTGGCCGCAGGAAGAGCTCCCTCACGCTGGGCCCTGTCCAGCCGCCAGGCCATGCTCTGGCTAAGGGGCTAGAGAGCTGGGCCTTCCCTTGCATTGCTCCCTTTCCTCAGACCTTCAACAGGAGAAACCTGGTCTAATTAGGAAAAAGGGATGGTTATAGAAAAGCAGCCCTGATTGGATGAAGCTTTGAGCTGCCTGTGACCATCTGCACAGTGTGTCCTTTGCCTTCGTCATGCCAAGATGTGTGTGTGTGTGTGTGTGTGTGTGTGTGTGTGTGTGAGAGAGAGAGAGAGAGAAAGAGAGCGAGAGAGCAGTGACGTGAACAATAAGACAGTCAGGCACCCTGTATGAATTGAGACTAGGGCTCTTGTTCTTAGCTTGTGGAGGAGTTTCTAGGGTTCAGGAACCTCCAGAAATTGTGTAGATATTTGGCTGCTTGAGCATTTTTCTGGGAAAAGGCTCACAGCTCTCAAATTCTCATAGGGGTTCACAGGGCCCAAAATATTAAGAACTTTTAAAAATAGATATACCTCATAGATGGTATCCACATGGACTTGGATCCTCCAAGCCCAAATTTGGAAATGAGTGAACAGACAGGTAGGAAGAAGGGTTAGGAGAGTGGGTAGGGGCCCTCCCTTAGCCAGTGTTCATTGAGTGTTTGTGTATCATTAAGTGACACTGGCCTAGGCGTTGAAAGGGACTCACTACCTAGAAGACCTAGTCCTTGCTTTTTTTGAGTTTATGTGCTTATTTGCTTTAATTTTCCTTCTTAGAACTTGCACAGAGTTTGGAGGTCTAATCTGTTTATCTCGCACGTGTCCTCCAATGGAGGTAGAGAGAGGAGAAGAGAAGGGTCTATGTCAAGGGACCTTTGTGGACTGGTTAGACCTCTTAACCTTTCGTGGCCTGCGCTGGCCCTCTGTGCTGCCATCGGTGCTTCGAGGAGGGCTGAGGCATGGGATTATGTGGCAGGCCCTTCCGCTCTACCCAGTGCCGCCTCCTCACACTGCAGCACTCACTCCCTCTGGAAGACATCTGCGACTTCTTGACTTGACCACTGACTCAGTGACACCTCAGCCCTGGCACTCCACCCATTGGGAGCCAGCAACAGCTGGGACCCTGTGGACCGTGGTTGGGAGCAGCTGGCTGGGGCCTGGGGCTTGGAGGGGTACCTGCTGCCCGTTCCAGCTGCCCTCACTGCAGAACCAGTGTGATATTATGTAAGAGCAGGGGGATGGGGGCCAAATCCCTGCATGCAATGAGCCTGGGGCCTAGTCCTGGGGCTTCACTCTTTTGGAGCTTATTTTGTGTCTGTCACTGTGAGCTCCTGGAGGACTCAGGAATTTGGTCTTTTCATCTTTAATAATATAATGGCGGACGTTTACTGAGCACCTACCTTGTGCCTGGTACCATTTTGACGCAGCCAATATGTATTAGACTGGTTGATCCTTCCAACAACCCAAGAGGAAAATTCTGTTGCTATCCCTGGGTTATATATAGGGATACGGAAGCACAGGAAGGTTGAGGCACGCTTGCATGGTTTCACAGCTACTAAGTCGGAGAGCCGAGGTCACAGCCAGGCATCCTGACTCCAGACTGGCTGTCAGCACCGTGCCATGGGACGCTTGCACCTACTGAGAGGAGCCCCACCAAGAGGAAGGTTCACTAAGCATTTGCTAAAGAACATGCAGAAGGAGACTTGTAGAGAAGGAATGAGGAGTTCAATGAGGAGGAAATGGTGCTGAGTTCACCATTTCCTGAATGCTGAAGGCCAACATTTGCCACCCAATCCTGAGGTGGCCACAGACACACCTTATAAGGGTCTTAAAAGGATTGGTGGCGTGGATTGCATGTGTGTGATATGTGAATGTTTTACAAGAATGCATTGGTTTGTAATTAGAAAAGGATAATAACAAATTTGTTTTGTGTGAAGGAGTTTCCCTGGCAGATAAAAGTAGGAGGGGCATTCCAATAAGTGGGAACAGAGGGTGCAAAAAGTTCAATCTTGGGGAAGGTAAATAGCATACCATTTTCCCAAACTGACAGACTTTCAGTGCAAAAGGGATTTCATGGTTAAATACTTTGGAGAAATCTGAATTAAACAAAATTAGACTGCTCTCTTTGCTGTAGGACTTCTAAGAGCCTTTAACATGCTAAAGTGTATTTTAAATCTACAAGTAGAGGAGAGAAGATGCTGCATTTCCCTTTTTTTTCTGGAAAACTTATGGCAATTCACTGAGAGTCAGGAGACCTGGGCCCTCATCTTGTCTCTGCTGCTGACAAGCTGTGTACCCTGGATTGGCACCTAAACTCTGAGGCCTCAATGCCTCAATATAAGAGATTATCATCAGAGCTAATGTTTATTGAGCACTGACTCTGTGCCAGCATCTGGGCTAAGGACTTTTACATTCATTGTCCTCCTCCCAGCCCTATGAGGTAGGTACTAATACCATCTCCATTTTATAGCTGGAAAAAACCAGAGGTTTTCAGACATTAAATGTAAACTAAAGAAATGGAGAAAAGGACAGTGGTAGGCTTTGGGGACCTTGCAGAGCCCAAATCCTGTGACATATGCTCCCCCTTGCTAGCCCTGGAATTGTAAGCCCTGTGGGTGGGGTCAGGAACTTGCAGCAGGGCCCAGCAGCAGGGCCCAGCAGCGGAGTGGAAGGTGAACCAGATGGCGGGCCTGGCAGCCACCCCGGGAGAGGCTTGGGCAGGAGGAGAGTCAAAGCATGACAGCTGCTCTGGGAGGGGCACTGCCCAACTGGAGCAGGCGCAAGAGTGGGTCCTGGAGGCACCCTGCTGGATGGTGGGAGGGAGGACATCTGGTTGGCAGGAGACATGGGGACAAGGGGGCCCTCTGGGCGGCAGCTACTTACCTACTAGTTTGGAACTAGTTCAGCATTTCAGCAGCGTTCTGACTCTACCAGAGGGTTTGCCTAAATGTCAGCCCTGGTTTTAGGTGCCTTCCCTGCCAGTTCTTCCCTTCTGCCCTTGAGCCTGAGGCTTTGATCCCTATTCAAATGTCAATTCTCCTGACAGCCTGCTTCTACAGCTGCTATTGGTTGGTCAGTTAGGATGAAGGGGGATCTGAGAGTCTGTGTCCCTCCAGAAGATGGAGTCTGGGGACAAGGAGGCCTTTCAAGCACCCAGTAGATGTTCATTGAGTACGTGCTGTGTGCCAGGCCCCGTGATGGGTGCTTTGTACAGCAGTGAGCACATCAGAGTAGGGGGAAGGGCCCATAAACAAAATACATCATGTAGGGCAAAGGTGTCAGAAGCCTACAGGGGCAGCTTCCCCCACAGGGCAGTTTTGTCTCCTCATGTGACCTAGAAGCCACTGGGAAAGCAGGGCTGGCCTCTGACAAGGTCCTGTGTGCCTAGGGCGGGTGTCCATCCTGCCAGCCTTCCCAGCAGGCATTTCTGCTGTGGCTCCTGACTCCTGGCCCGTGGGCAGCTCCCCTGGGTGCCCCAGCCCAGGGCGGGGGGCCGGGGCTTCCTGAAACAGGGTGTGGAGCCGGGAATGGAACAGAGGAGCCATTGAGCTGCCCACAGAGCTGCCACCTGGGCACCCACGGGCACTTTGGACTGGCGCTGGGGAGGCCCACGCCAGCCTGGGAGAGGTCGTGGCTCTGGGCACCAGCCCAGGACTCCAGTGGGAAGGGCTCTGTGTGCAGCTCTGACCAGGCTTGGTGAGGGAAGGGCTGGGGGGCTCCGTGGAGTTAGGGGGTCAGGGCTTGGGCCAGGCGCTTCTACCACTGAGCAGTTTCCAAGGCCTCGATCCCCCTATATGACCTCCCACCCCACCCCAATTCATGCTTCCTCCCTCTTCTGAAGGAACAAGGAAAAGTGCTTCCTTTGTCCATTTTTCCTGTTTTATGTGAACTGATTTAACAAATATTTACTGAGCACTTTCAGGCACTGGGAATTTAGCAGTAAACATGGTTCCTGCCCTCAGGAAGCTTACAGTCTGCAGGAAGACAGATAATAAAACAAATATTTGCTGCATAATGTGATGACAGCCCAGCACAGAGGCACCTAACCAGACCTGAGAGGAGAAAGGAAAGGCTTTCTGAAGAAAGAAAATAATCTGATCTGGGCAGAGGGAAAGCCTTTGAGGTGAGAAAGAGAGCGTAGAACTCAGGTAACAAAGTGATCCAAGGTGGGTAGAGAGAAACCAAAGAGGACAGTGGAATCTTTAAATCCCTTTAACTTCAGACATTTTCTTGTAGGCAGTGGAGAGCCACTGCAAGGTTAAAGGATAGCCTGTCTGTTGATTCAGTTACTGTCGAGTAGCCGCCATATATGAGTGTGAGGCTGGATGCCCACTGGGCTGAGTACCACATGGGTTGGCTCCAGAGCCCCCTTGGTCAAGTGGGTGGGGCTATGGGTGCCGGTTGGCCTAGGGAGAAGCAGCTTGGGGTGGGGGTGGATTTCTTTTCTCTACTTCCTGGAGGAAGGAGGAGTAGGGGTGGAAGGCTCTGAGGGGAGATAGGCAGTGATCTAGTAGAACATTTTTCTAGTGTCTACTGTGAGCCCAGTGCTATTGGAGCTAGAGAGACAAAAATGACAAAGAACTCTAGGCTAGTGGATGATCTGATGTGGGGAGGGGATGATTTGAGATGGTGGTCTTCTCAGAAGCAGGCAGAGATTCGAGGGAGATAAAGGAGCTGGGTGGCTTGACTGGAACAGGTGGCAGCTCAAGAACTGAAGGAGGAGATGATAGGACCATTGGGACATGCTTTAGAGATCCCTAGAGGGGCTTGTGGGGGTCCAAGGAACATGCAGAAGAGGTCTCTGAGGTAGGAGAGTTCCTTTCTCCATCTCTGCCTTGCTAGAGGTCCCAGATCCTCTAACCCAGGGCAGGGCAGTCACCTCCACAGCCTCCCTGCCCAGCTGGCTCCCACAGTCCTGATGTGGTCCAGTACCAAAGCCTAGACTGAGGACGGGGGAGAGGAAGAAGTGGCTCCTCCCCATGCCGCAGGCCCCGGAGCCACCTCTCGTCAACGTCTGTCAACCCAGTGTGCAGTGCTCCCCCGGAGGTGCTGGCAGCCCTGGGTGCTGGGCTCTGTCTCTGCCTCAGCTGGTCCCTGCCCACCCCCCCAGGAGCCTGTGCCCAGCTTGGAGAATGGCTCTATTGTCCTCAGCTGTGCCCCACCCTGAGCACCTTGAGCTCCTCTGCAGGGTGTGCAGCTTGTGGTTTGCTCTGCCTTGACTGGGGGCAGGGACAGAGGGGTGGCCATGAGCCACTTGTGTGGGAGAAAGGGCAGTGTGGGATGTCGAGGGCCAAGGCAAGGCATTTCCTGTCCTTGCCTTCCAGGAGCCCAGGGGATTTCAGTAGAGCCCAAATCCTGGCTTTCCTCAGGGTTGTCCTAAGGTGGTCTCTCTCCCAGGACAGCCAAGATGCCCACTGGTGGCAGGTTAGCAGCATGATTTTGCACAAAGGGCATAGGTTCCAATCCTGGTTCCTCCACTTATGCTGAATGGTCTTGGGCGTGTTGTTCCCCACCTGCCCTGAGCCTCCCTTTCCTTAAAATGGGAATAATAATATTATATGACGTTGTGATGGATGTTGAGAGGATAAACCAGCAGAACTGGGGCATAAAGTGAGTACTCAGCCTTTCCATCCTTGATGGTCAGCAAATATTTATTTGTTCAGCATCTGCGAACACATTGGTAGGCATGGACCAAGCTAATTTCCAAGTTGCCTACTGTTCCCTGCTTGCTCTTTGAACTCTTCTAACACCTTTGTAACCAGTTCTCTGAATTAATTCCCTCTGTTCAACCACCTGGTGTAGGCTCTTGTCCTGCCTGGACCCTGGCTGAGGCAGGCCTTACAGCCCAGAGCCTCATCCTGGCCATTTAGCCTAGGGAATGGCCCAGAGGCACAAAATTAACAGAAGAGAAAGATGTACCACTCTGCTGGCAGCCTAGTAGGGGACCCCTGCAAAGGAAGAGACAGAGCTTGTCCACATCCAAGCTCAGAGCCTGCCCTTGGGTACCTGGGGCTCCAGTCTAAGGCAGACTGCCCGGGACTCTTGCTCCTATGGACAGGGCATCTGGGGAGAAGCAGAGCTGTCTCTCAGATGTCTGAAGCTTGCTCCCCTCACTCTCTTCCCACAGTTGGCAATCCTAGAAGACTATGCGGACCCGTTTGATGTTCAGGAGACTGGTGAAGGCCCAGCAGGAGCTTCAGGAGCCCCAGAGAAGGTCCTCGAAAATGATGGCTACATGGAGCCCTATGAGGCCCAAAAGATGATGGCTGGTGAGTGATGGAGTTGGGGGTGGGGGGCTTGAGGGGTTGCTCCCTGAGGCCTGGGTATCTGCAGAACAGGCTCTGAGACTCACAAGTCTAAGGACTGATTCTTTGGTCCCTAGAAAATATAAAGAAAGCCTTTGCTTGGTCCTTGGGGAGGATGGCCACTGCCTTCAAGATAGTCACCACAAGTCACAGCTTCTTCTCCAAAATGACTAAGACCTGAAGTGGTAGAGAAGGCCATACAACCAAAGTTAGACAGAAACATTTGGGGTAGTCAGGAAGGTCAAGATAGTGGTATGGGCTGGGGGTCATTGATCCCAAAGAGAGAATCACTAGCTTTAGAGAAGGTGGTGAGTTTGTAATGATTGATGTCAAAGTGAAACATCTTTATGGTTATTGGAAACACATGACTAGAAATGCAGATGCAGTGCACATGAGGTTGGGCAAATAGTTCAAGGAGTGAGGGCAGGGAGGAATGAGTAAGACCTGGCCCTGGGGAACAGAGGTCAAGAAAGGATCCAGGGAAAGAGACCAAACGGGGGTGATCAGAGAGGAGTACCGGGGTGAGTCAGTCTAAGCCAAGGCCCCAAGGCAGGCTGAGAGGAAGGTTTGTTCAAGGACAAATAATCTTAGTGCTGGGCATTCAGGAGAGCCAAGATGAGAGAGGCCAAGAGGGGCAGGGAAGGGCCTCGAAGGCTGGAATGAGGCATTTGGACTTGCTCCAAAGGGAGGAGGGGAGCCATTATGGATTCTTGAGGAAGAAAGGAACAGGATGAATATGGCATTTCAAGAGGATTGTTGAGGCTTTAGTGTACAGAACAGACCAGAAGAACTGGGCATCAGAAAGATGAGTTAGCAGGTTATTGTGGAAATTGTTGAGGCTTTAAGGAACCAATAATTAACACCTCTTTCTTCACCTCCTGAGCTTGGAAATAATTGAGAAATAAGATTAAGGAAACAGATGGAGATAACAAGGTCAACTTTTATTACTGATACAGCTGATTGGAGAACATTACTTACTATGTCATCACAATGGGCTTCTTAATATTTCGCCACAGAATTAAAGTTGCCCACTCAGGCTTGGGCAACACAGGACAGCTGTAGGCTCCTGCATGGGCAGGATGAGAAAGAACCAGAATGTTCTCTCTCTGCAAGACGACAGATCTGAGAAAGAGAGCAAGCATCCACTGGCCGATTGGATAAGCTGCTCTCCCTCCTTAGGAGAGTTGGGTGGGGGGACAGAGAGTGGTCAGGAGTGTTATTCCATGGAGCCCGTGAAACATGAGCCTGTAGAATGGAGGTTCACCCTAGGAGTAATCTAGATGTGGAGAGGCAAGGGTGATAGTCATCAGGTATTGGCAATGAACAGATGAGATTCAGAGAATGAAGGAGGATTCAGAGAATGAAAGAGGGCCAGAACCAAGGAGAGCAGTGTAGTGGACAGAAATGGAGAAAGTGAGAGGGTGGCTACTGTATTCAGATCAGAGGGGGGTGGACCCCCAGGAGGTCTGTGAGTGCCCTCGAATTGTATGTGAAAATTTGCACAGTTTTCTGGGGAGTAGCTCCATAGCCTTTATCAGATTTTCTCTGGGGTCAAAGATCCTAAGAAGAGAATCACAGAACAGACTAGAAGAACTTTTGGGGAAAGTGGTGAGTTTGAAACATCAAAGTGAAACATCTTTATGGCAGTTGGAAACGTATAGTTGCAAAGGGTGCCATGAGACTGGGCAAGTCAAGTAGTTCAAGGAGTGAGAACAGGGAGGAATAATAAGACTTGGTCCTGGGGAACAGAGACCAAGAGAGGCTCTGGGGAAAGAGACCAAACCGGGTGATCAGAGAGGAGGACAGTCCATGAAAATGACTTGTCAAAGGGGACAGTTTCAAGGAGGGAGTGGTCAGCAGTATCTGAGCAACATAGAAGGGTTTTCTGATTGTGAAATGATGCCACTTAGGACACAGGAAGTAAATGGAGCTGAGTAACCAGGAGGAGATGGACTAGGAGAGCACCCTGCCTCAGTTTCCTAAATGTGTGAGCCTCTGCTCCCCAGCCCTTGCAGGATCTTTCTTCTGTCTTTCACTCTGGTGCCTCTGTCCCTGCCTCCATTGGGTCCCATGCTTTTGGAGCTTCAGAGGTGTTTTGAGGGTGAGGGACCCCGGATGTGTGGCCATTGGGTTCCCCCCAGAGCCAGCAGCATCTCCTCTGAGGGAGGCTTGGCTTGTTGCTAAGGAGCGTTGCCGGAGGAGCGGAGCCAGGCAGCCAGGGCAGCTCTCACACCTCCCCTCCTGCCTTGCCCTGGCAGAGATCCGGGGGTCCAAGGAGCCAGCAGCTCAGCCCCTGCCTCTGTACGACACACCCTATGAGCCAGAGGAGGAGGAGGCCACCCCGGAGGGTGAGGGGCCCCCCTGGCCCCGGGAGTCCCGCCTGCCTGAGGATGACGAGAGGCCCCCTGAGGAGTATGACCAACCTTGGGAGTGGAAGAAGGAGCGGATTTCCAAAGCCTTTGCAGGTGAGTCCTGGGTAGAGAGGGCAGGTCTGCTGGGCCTCTGAGCAGCTGTCCAGGCTCAGGGGAGTGGAAGGAGTGGACCCCAGGGGCCAGGGGGACCTAGGAGCTGGGCTCAAGGGAAGTGTAGTTGAGTCTGCACCATGGAGAGTGGTGAGTTGGGCGGTATGGACGCAGCACTGTGTGCAGCGTCAGGGAATGGGCACGGGAGAAGGATAAAGAGGTCTCCCTGCATCACCACCTCTCTGAGGCCAAGAGGCTTGGGCCACTTGCAGCTTTTGGGGGGCTGGGTATATTTAAAAATAAAGGAATTCCAAACAAAATGATAAAACTTGTGGCATATGTTAAATACTTACCCTTAATAAAAGAAGGCATTTAACACTCGTGACAATGAAAACAGCTGTGTGTGTAACTAAAGACACCAGCCCTGAATTACAGGGCTGTGGCTCCCAGTGGTGGGCCGTGCCTAGCCCCAGGGGGATTTCTTTTTTTTTTTTTTTTAAAGATTTTATTTATTGATTTTTTCCCCCCAAAGCCCCAGTATATAGTTGTATGTCGTAGCTGCACATCCTTCTAGTTGCTGTATGTGGGACTCGGCCTCAGCATGGCCGGAGAAGCGGTGCCTCGGTGCACGCCCGGGATCCGAACCCGGGCCACCAGCAGCGGAGCGCACGCACTTAACCGCCAAGCCACGGGGCCGGCCCGACCCAGGGGGATTTCTGAAAGCAGGAACCCCCGGGGAGAGAAAGGCTGTAAGAAGTCTCCTTTGCTGAATGAGGATCAGGTTTCTCTTGTGTCCAGGCACCCCAGTGTCCATCCCAGGCCCGGGGACCAACATGGGTGTTCGTGGGTGTTCGTGGTCTGAGTGGGTGGCACAAGAGCCTGGAGTGGGGAGACAGCTTTAGCTCCTGGATCCTTGATTCCGTGAGAATATAAAGGACTTAAATGCCATTGGACACCATTCCCACTCCCACATGCCCCTCACCCCTCCTCGGGCAAGGAGCTCACCCTGGAGCTGGACTCAGCTCTCTGCTCTGTCCTCCCCACCCTGGCAGCCAGACTGGGAAACCACAGGTTTCTAATTTGTTTCCTGTAAAGCGTGCACCGCTGAGGATGGGCCGTTTATCTCCAGAAGTCTCCTTGGAGAATCAATACTGTTTGGATTGCTTAATGGGAAAATCTATGCTCGTCATTAGGAAACCTCGTTAGCAGTCCTGCAGCCGCCAGTGGCATCACTCTTCTAATTGTCAAGGCTCAGGATTGAGGGTGTGGGGGTAAATTTCAATAAAACATCTGCCCCCACATCTGAGTAGTCCTGATAGCCTGATGCTGGGCTGTCTCAGTCTTGCTGCCCATGGGTTCCCAGGCTGTGGGGAAAAGGAGGAAGGGAGGCAAGGCTGGGGGTGCCAGGAGGCTTTGGGAACCTGGGTGTGGTGCCAGGAGGTGTGGGCAGCTCCTTGTCCCCCTTTTCCTGCTTTCCTGGTCCCTTTGGGCCCTGGAAGTTTGTGAGAGGTCAAATGAAGGGGACCTGCAGGGCTGGCAAAGCAAGACCCTGCTTCCTGCTGTTTGCCACCTGAGCCTCCCACCCTTTGACTGGGCTGGCCTGGTGTGGGAAGTGTGGCTCTGCCCAGCCCTCTGAGGGTCCTGTTCCTCCTTGAGAAGCCACCCCTGCCTCTGCTCTGACCCTCCTCCTTTCTAGGCTGTTCTGTGTCCTGGCTCTGGGTTTTGGTGTCTCAACCTCTGCCTCTCTCTGTCTCTGTCTCTGTCCCTGTCTGTCTCTCTTCTCCCTGCTGCTTCTGGCTCCAGTTGACATTAAGGTCATCAAAGACCTACCTTGGCCTCCGCCTGTGGGACAGCTGGACAGCAGCCCCTCCCTGCCTGATGGGGACAGGGACATCTCCGGTCCAGCCTCACCCCTCCCTGAGCCCAGCCTGGAGGACGGCAGCGGTGGGTCCTGTGGGGGCTTCTGGCCAGGGTGACGTGTCCTCTCACCTCTCAGGCCCAGTGGGCTTGGCTTGGAGGAGCTGAGAGGTGGGGCAGGGTTTGGAGAACCCAGGAAGAATCCCTCTCATCCTGGAGGAAGAGGGAAGGGACAGAATACACATTCCTCCCTCCCGCAAAGGTGTGGGGAAGGTGTCTCCTAAGGGAGGCCCCTTCCAAATACTCTCTTTCCCACCATGCCACAAAAATCCACCACTTTAAATTCACCTCTTTGGGTAGAGCTCTGCCTGACCAGATCCCTCAACAATGCAAATAACTCCTGAGGTGGGGGCGATGCCAGCACAGGAAATGTCCAACTCCTTAGGGTAAAGGAGGGGATCCGATCCTCAAAACTGGTGACTGAAAGACAGTAAGGGCTTGAAAGTGATACAAGGAGAGAAAAAGAGCCCAAATGGGGAGAAAGAAGGCATTGAACACTTCATCTGTGTTCAGTTTTACCCAGAATGGGCGGCCAAGGGTGTATGCATGCGTCTGTGCATGCGTGCACAAGCGTGAGCACCAGTTGGTACATTTGTGCCTGAGTGTGAGTGGGTATTTTGTAAATACAGATTGAAGGAGGGTGTCTGTGGCCTGTGCATGTGTGCCTGTGCCCGTGTGGCCCCTGGCTTCAGTGCTCCCTTGTGCAGTCTCGGCGGTCAGGCTGGCCCTGGTCTGGGAGGGCAAAACCGCCCCTGCTGGGCTTCTGTGGGTGGGGAGGGGAGCCTGTGGGCAGCGACCTTGGGGGTGGGGGAGGGGCAGGCGGCTGGTGGCTTTGGGCAAGATTAGCCTGTCAGGATGGCACCAAGGGGAATCGGATAATTGTTCTCGGATCGATAAGTCATTTCTACAGAATGGCTTGGCAGTGTGATTTGGAGAACAGTAATGAACTCTGAGGAGGAGAAAGAAACAATATTATCAGCACTGAAGCCACCCTGAGGGGGCTGGAATAGGAGAAGGCAGTCAGCTGCTCCAGAGGGAGAAGCTTAAGTGGTTTCTCATGTTGCTCCTCTCCTCTCTCCTCCCACAGTTTGGGGACTGGAAGGCCCTGTGTGGCACAGGAGGGCTGAACCCCAACCCCACCCCTGCCCCCACTGGGGGATGGATCCAGGATTCTGTCTCCAGAGCCAGTCAGGCCCATAGCATGCCCCACCTTTCCAGAACATTCTTCGACCCCTTCTGGCAGGAAATGAGGGTGGGGCACTGGCTATTCTAGAGGGCTCTACCTCTAGGGTCCTCAGAGTCTATGACTGGTATGTTCCCCACAGCCCAGTTTGAAGGATCTGAGAAGAGCTGCCTGTCACCTGGCCGGGAGGAGAAGGGGCGGCTACCTCCCCGACTCTCTGCAGGGAACCCCAAGTCAGCCAAGCCCCTAAGCGTGGAGCCCAGCAGCCCCCTGGGGGAGTGGACAGACCCAGCACTGCCTCTGGAAAACCAGGTGTGAGTGTCTGTGTCCAGCTGGGGACTTTCCCCTCCCTTCCCGTCCTGGCACTGGCTTGCCTGCAGGGGACACCCAGAATGGGTGGGCCTGGACGGCGAGATGCCCCTCTTCCTCTCTCTCGTCCTCAGCTGGTACCACGGGGCCATCAGTCGAACAGATGCAGAGAACCTGCTCCGGCTGTGCAAAGAGGCCAGCTACCTGGTGCGCAACAGTGAGACCAGCAAGAATGACTTCTCCTTGTCCCTCAAGTGAGTGGGGGTGGCCCAGCTGGCGGCTTTAGGCAGGATTAGCATGTCAGGATGGCACCAAGGGGAATTGGGGGGAGGACAACCAGCAGGACAGGCAGAGACTCCAATATTCCCCCCAAGTCCGGCCAAGCTGGGGAGAACCCCGTCCGCCGTGAACATTTGCCGACTCTGGGCCAGGCCCTGGGGATCAGGAGAGGTCTGAGGCCCAGCGCCTGTTCTCAAGGAGCTCAGAGTCCATTGGGGGAAAAAGTCGAGCTACAGCTTCCAGCTCAGAAGGGTTCTGTCACTTACTAGCTCTGTGGCCTGGGGCCCCCTTAACCTCTCTGGGCCTCAGTTTCCTCACTTGTAAAATGGGGGGATAATGATATCTACCTCATAGGGAAGGATTAAATGAAATAATGTATGGGAAGCACTTAGCATGGTGCTAAGTACTCAATAAATTATGACCATCATTATTATTAATGGAAGTCCAAGATGTTCTAGAAGCACAGGCAAGGAGATAGGAATTTTGCCTGAGGGAGCCTACAGGGTGAGATGGAGGCTGGTTCCTGGGAGGAGGGTGGTACAGTGGACACAAAGCTGTTCTTGTTCACTCTGAAGAAGCAGGCAGGAGGTCTGGGTGCTAGTGGCTGACAGCTGAGCTCTAAAGGGTCGTGGAAGAGGCAGGGGAGGCAGGGCCCTCCCTCCCCAGGAGCAGATATACACAGACCACCATGCCCATGACCAGCTCTGCTGGCAGGATGGCCAGTCTCCTCCTTGGCACCCAGGAGTTCTGCCTGCACCCCACATGGCAGCCTGTCAGAGTGGTGTGTCCATTCACATCCCCCATTACTACTGGGGCATCTGCACCACTCTCTGCCACATTTTCTGGGGGCATTACGGTGCAGGTATAACCCTACTTCAAATCCAATATATGGAAATTTGGGACTACTAAACAGGTACATTTCAGGATAATTATTCAACTTCACTAAAAGGTAATGGAAAAACACCAAACTCTAGTCAGATAAACTGAGTTTTATTCTTGGGTTTAATAAAACTAGCTATGTAACCCTAGGCAAATCAGTTAACCTCCCTGGGCCTTGGTTTCTCCCTTTGCAAAATGTGTTGATGGGTACCTCTTAGGTTTCTTCCAGCTCTCTGGGAGTCTGCCAATTACCGTAAAATCAAAGGAGCATTTAGGAGAAATTCATTTGTCAAAAATTTGATTTCTAGGAGCCAGCCAGGTGGCATAGTGCTTAAGTTCACTCGCTCCGCTTTGGTGGCCCAGCGAAGTTCGCAGGTTTGGATCCTGGGCGCAGACCTATGCATCGCTCATCAAGCTATGCTGTGGCAGGCATCTCATATATAAAATAGAGGAAGATGGGCACAGATGTTAGCTCAGGGCTAATCTTACACATACATAAAAAAATTGATTTCTATAACTTCAGGAGTGTATATTGCTTTAAAAATTATAGTTAAGATTCATAGAGCATCTACAGAGTGACAAGGAGCATATATACCATCTCCAGACCAACCAGCATCCTGCAAGATCAATCTCTTTTTTATAGACAGAAAATAGATTCAAAGAGGTATGTGACTTGCTCAAGCCCACCAGCTAATACAGAGCCAAAAGCAGGATTTGAACCCAGCTCAGTCTGACTCAGAGAAGGACTCTGTTCTATTACACAGTTCCACCCTTCATCAAGTCTGATATGGTCTAAGGCAAGGGGAGACATCAGGGGTCTGGCTCCCTGAGCAGAGCAGAGCTCCCGGCCCTACCTTAGCCTGGAGAGTCAAAGCGGGAGGCAGCCCTGGACTCTGCTCCAGCCCAGGCTGATCTGGCCCCGCCAGCATCTGTCTGCCAGAGCTTCATTTGCATATAAATGGCTTCTCTGAAATACAATTATGGTTTCTTTTCTCTCTGTGAAGGAAGGGCTTTCACTGGTAATTAAACAGCTTCCTCCAAAAGCCATGCCAGCTCTGGCCCTGTGGCCCAGATAGTCCCAGCCTGGCTCCCTGAGGGTCCAGCAAGGGTTCTGCTGTGTCCTAATGGACCCTTGGGACTTTGTCCCAAGAGGTCAGTTATCTAGATGGAGGCTGAGCTCTCAGCTTCTAACTCAGTTCTCTGGCCACTTGTTGCCCTTCTTGGCCAGATCTGTCCCTCAAGAAGAAGATATAATGCACAAATTTCAGGAGAGGCGATTCCCCCAAGTAGACTGTGGGGAGGGGGCTGTCCCCAAAATGTGAGAGGGGCAGGGAAAGCAGGCCCATGCTGCTACCCATAGCCTTGGGCCAGGGCCTTGGCATAGGGCAGACCAGAGGGTGACCCCTCACTGCCTCCCCTCTCTACCGCCCCCGGGGGCTGTACATTTCCCCCAGGCCCTTTGCGCCAGGCCCCAGGGCCTGTGTGGTCACTGTCAGCCTCAGCCGTTATCTCAGACCTACAGATGAAGGATGGCCCCACACCCTGACACACACACCCAGTCCTGGGGCCCCTAGTAGGCTTTGGGGCACCATACACTGGGGGAGGGTGGAATGAGTTAAGGGACTGGTTTTTCCTCCCATCCCTTTCCTCTCTTCAGTCACCCTACTCTCCCCACTTTCTCACTTGTGGGCCTGGGGAAATGGGTCCAGTCAGAGCCCTCTTTGTACCCAGGCAGGGGAGGCAAGTGAGGAGGTTTGCCAGCCTCACCTCTCAAGGGTGGGGACCGCCTCATCATGACATACCTCCCACACCAGCTTCTGAGCCCTGTCCTTGTTCCCAAGTAGGCTCTGACCAGCAGAGACAAGTATTCAGGCTTCAGGGCTCCCCCAAGCATTGCTTCCTCCTTGCCTGTGGGTGAGTTTCAGACCTGGGGCCTGGCAGACCAGGCCTTCAGTAGTTTGGACAAACGTTGTTCTTGCTGGAGCCCCACCCCAGTGCTCTCTCTCTAAGCCTGAGGGTGCCTGGCCGTCTGCGAGCTGGCCAGAGCTGTGAGCAGTGGGGTCCTTGTCTTGTGGGCAGGCCCAGGCACTAATGCTGATTTCCGGGATTGCACTGCGGTGGGGAGATGGGAGAGGCAGTGGAGCGTGTCCTCTGAGGGAGGGAATGGAGCTGCAGCCTCACCCATGACATCGTCCCAGGCTGAAGGGCTGGAGAGATGAGCTGGGGGCTTGGCCCAAGGCCCAGTTAGCAGGAGGGTGAAGGGATGTCCCCAGGATGAGGCAGCTGAGCATTCCCAGATTTGGGGGGACTTTCAGAGCAGCTCCTCTCCCCAGTCTCTGCAAGAGAGAGTCCCAACCAAGATTTGCTTGGTTGTCACATTTGTCCACCCACTGTCCTGCCAAGGGTGTCTGTGTCTCCACGTGAGTCACCACAGGTGTCCTCCCCCATAGCTCAGGGAGTGGGAGGGTAAATCAGCTACATAGGCTGGAGGGCAGGGGTGCCTGGATCCCAGAGTTTGGGGTGGGGTGGGGGGTGCTGGTCGCTCCAGTTTCCACCTGCACACACCCTGTACACTCACTGCACACACATTCTTGGCACACCCAGTGCTCTCACCACAAAGCCAATGCCTACTGGTGCCTACCCACAGAATCCCCTCAGCCCCCTCCCTGCTTTCTGGACTGACCCCCACCTTTTCTAGTTGCCTCCACTCTCAGCTGGCTTGGAACAACCACATTTAGTTCCTGGTGGGGAGGGGAGGAGGACTGGAGAGGGCACCCACTCACCAGGGTCTCCTCTCCTCTTCCTAGGAGCAGTCAGGGCTTCATGCACATGAAGCTGTCCCGGACCAAGGAACACAAGTACGTGCTTGGCCAGAACAGCCCGCCCTTCAGCAGCGTCCCTGAAATCGTGCACCACTACGCCAGCCGCAAACTGCCCATTAAGGGGGCCGAGCACATGTCCCTGCTCTACCCCGTGGCCATCCGGACTCTGTAGATGTGAGGCCCAGGCGCTGTGACAAATCTGGACCCAGCTCTGTGCCCGTCCCGAGGCTGAGGACTGTGGCCCTTCCGGGGGACGTGATCTCCCAAACCTTTCTTCCGCTCTCCCTGGGATCGAGTGGAAGCTGGAGATTCCTTAATTTATTCTAGAAGGGAAGGGCACCTGGCGGCTTGGAGTAAGAGGTTTTCTGGAGCTGCGGATAGAGGAATCCCTGGGGAGAAAAGAGAGCCCCTCGAGGAAGGGGCTTCAGAACCGCTGGTCTCCTGAGGAGTTTACGCTCGGCAGCTCCAGCCCCTTTCCGCCCCCGGGGCAGAGGTGGCGACCCCCTTCCCCACCATCCTCTTCCCCTGGGTCAGTGCGGGGTGGAGCAGGGCGCGGGCCCGCGGGGCGCCCTGACCATCTCTCCGCCTCCACCCCGGAACCCCTGGCGGGCTCCGCCCAGAGTCCGGTGGGAGGCTTGGGGAAGGCAGACCCCTGGGATGGAGGCGGCACTGGGGTGGGGAGAGGGGGGAAGGGCTGAGCCGGAGTAAACTTGTGCAGGTCCCGGGCCGCCCCGGCTCCCGGCCAGAGGCAATAAATAAACCCCGTCCTGCCAGGCACAGCCGCGTCCGCGCCTCCAGCTCCGCTCCCCCGGGCTGCCAGGGGAGGGAGCGGCGAAGCGAGCACAGATTCTGTTTATAAATCAGCTCGGGAGCAGGCACAGGCCGGCTGTGAAAAGCGCTTTCGAAGCATCAAGTTCTTCCTTTGACACGCTGTCACAACATCCCCCGCCGCCCCCGCCCCGGCTGGGGGCACCCGGAGCCTGCCGGCCGCGCGGCGTCTCCTCCCCGCCGTGCCGACGAGCGCGGTTCCCAGAGAGCGGGTCCGATTTCCTGCCAACAGCCATGTGTCTGGGAGGAGGGGAGCCGCGGAGAGACAAAGAGGCCGCGCGCCAGGCGTGGGGAGCGGGGCGGCCCTGCCACGCGGAAGCCGCGCGCCAGCGGAGGCGGGAGAACTGGCGCGGCCGACCGCGTTTCCTTTCCAGAAGGGGTGGGGGGGCTGCCGCGCCTCCCCCATTCCCTGACCGATGAGTCCGGCCCTGGAGACCTGCAGCCTGCCGCCCTGGGCCCAGATCGCCCTCCCGGCGGCAGCTCCGGGCTCGCAACCGAGCCTGGCGGGGCCGTCCGCGCGCGCCCCCGGCTGGCCAGGCCTCTAACCGCGGGCCCAAGGCGCGAGGCCACACCCGCCCGCGGCCCTGGGGGCGCCCCTGCCAGCGCCCACAGCTGGAACCCGCCGAGGCCTGTGGGCCCAGCCCCGGGGAATGCCCACGGGGCTGCCAGGCGGAGGTGCTGTCAAACCACTCCAGGCCTGCGCTCTTACTCCCACGGGCAAGCTGAACAGCAACTCCCCAACGGGCTGAACACTCTGGGGGCACTGCTGCCCTGGGTGGGGGGGGGGGGCAGTCTGAGGGACGCCTCCAGAACCTACACCTGCAACTCCCAAGTGTGGTGAATCATGGGATTCTGGATTTTCTAATCCAGTGGCTATTTTATCGAAATCGAGGATACGTGATCTGACAAATGTAAGAATTCTGGGGGGCGCGGGGGTGGGGGGGGGAGGCAATCGAAAGGATCACTTGAAATGAGGCACTGCTTAAGAAATTCCCTCATAGAGGGTTGCCCTATCTTTAGGTAGACTTGGAGGGCATTCAGTCATTTTGCAGATGAGAAAACAGAGGCCCAAAGAGGTTAGGTGATGTGCTCAGCTGTCTCCTCGCTGTCATCTCGCTATCTGGAAAACCCCTGTAGGCACAGGTGCTCAACTCTCCCATTGCTCAGAGAAGGGCTGGGAGAACTGAGGTTCTGGAGCAAGCCAGGAGAACTCTGGCTCCCTGTAGGTTCTTTGCTGGGTCCCGACCCCCACTCCCCTTTGTGCCAGCCCACCTTCTCTCTCTGCCCCTCCTGATCATACTTCAGAAGCCTCCGCACTAGCCACTCTGTGAGGCCCTCTGTCAGGCAGGGTGCCCCTGAGCCAGGAAAGGGGTCTCCAGCTGGGGCACCTGGCCTTGGGCGGGTTCCTTTATTCAGTGGATGCTGGCAAGTTGAGAGAGAATGTCTACATCAGCCTAGGTTAGCTGGCTGGTTGAGTGGCTTCCTCTGCCAGTACCTGCCCCATCCCAGGGCAGAATAAAAAAACCCAGAGAGCAGGAAAGTGGTTTATTTGTAAAGGAGACTATTGGAGCAGGAGGAGGTGAGAAAGGCTGAGGAGCACTACATAGAGATTGGGCCAGGTTCTGACTACAGAACATGTTTAAAAACTTGAGAGAGATCTATTGTGCTGTTAGACTGGGGCGCTGAGGGGGTCCCTGTAAATTGCTCTCTGTAGGTCCAGCCTCTACCCACTCCAAGGCATTTGCCAGCCATTTTACAGTGGGGAGCCCAGAGGAGGGGGAGGTTTTGGGGGAGGGGTTCTAAGATGCCAGCATCTGTGCCCCCACTTCCTTAGGCTCACAGCCCCCTACACACACACAGACACACACACACACACACACTACTTGTCAGCTCATCTTTTCAGTTTTTTTCTTAGTTTGGAAAAAGAGGTGTCCCTAATAGCTCTCCTACCTCCCAACCTCTAGTCTCCAGACGGTGCCTCCCACTTCTCCAAGCTGAGACCTTCTAGATCTAGGGGTCTCTGAACCCACATGGGTGACTGACCATAGCCACCTGGACCGAGGTGGGGAGGTGGGAATGGGGAGAAGGCTGAAGGAGCCAGAAACAGGAAGTACAGTGGCGAGGTGCAGGCCCAAACCTCTGCTCAGCTGGGCAGTGGGCGGAGCCCCTGGGCAGAAGGCCTAGAAGTTCTCATAATGGTGGGAGAAATGAGTCCGGTCCTGCCTGTTGATGAGCTGACAGGCTTTTTCCACATTCTTGGTCATGCCAGGGGGGCCGCAGCTAAACACCCCAATCTTCCGGACCTGTTGGGGGTGGAGGAAGTGAGGGCTAGCTTAGTGTTCACAGGGAGGGCTAGCTCAGTGTTCACGTTCAAGACCAGCAAGAGTCCTTGGTGAGGGCTCATTCCTGTTCCTGAGGCAGGTTTGCTTCATACCAGGCACGGTGACGGCTGGCTCAGTGTTTTTAAGTATAGCCCAATTTTGGTAGATTTGCTCTCTGTGGTTCTAGCCTCTACCCTCTCCAAGGCATTTGCCAGCTTCAAGTACAAGATCAGTGTTTCTAACAGGAGCCAGGTTAATCAATGTTCAAGTTGAAGGATAGCTTAGCATCTCATTGAGGGCTAGCCCAGTATTTATGAGAGTAATGGGTAGCCCAATGATTATGTGAAGATGAGCTCAGTGTCCAGGGTGAGGGCTGGCTCAGTATTAATGCTAAGTGTAGCTCGGAGTTTATGGTAAAGGCTAGCTCAACCATTGAGCTCTTCCTTCTGGACAAGGCATGATGGCTTCAGAAGTGGCAAGTGTCTGTCACCTGCCTCCTCCTGTAGCCCCTCAAGGTAATCCCCACTTCTCCTTTTCCATTCTATTGTCCCACTAATCTCATCAGCAGTCAATTCTTTCCCTGAGGGAGCAGGTTTGGGAGCTTTGCTCAGTCCCCAGATGATAAAGGTGAAGAGAACCTGGATATGAGGTGGGGACTGACCTGTGGGTGGACCTCCTGCAGGGAGTTGAAGAAGGGCTCAAAGGGGGGGCGGCCAAAGTGGGTGATGGAGCGCAGGCCCGTGAACAGACTCCGGTTCAGCACCTTCTGGAAGTGCCGCTCACAGATGTACTGGGGGCACAGGGGCAGGGCAGGTCAAGGACAATCAGGATCAGTGCCTAGCCCAAGCCAGCCTACAGCTCAGGAGACAGAGACTGGGGTGGGGAGGGAGCTGGAGGCTGAGGATACGGGCCACCAGCTCTGTGCCCGCTGCCAACCGAGCCTGGCAGTCCGCCCACCTACCCTGGCCATCTTGCCTGGGCACACACCCACTGAGCTTCCCTGCCTGGCCGGCCCTGACGTACCAACATGGTGGTCCTGAGGTCAAACTTCTCAGCCAGCTGGGTGATGTAGATGTGCACAGACACCAGGTCCTGGCAGTCATTCTCCTCCACCTCCCGGATGATGTCAGCCAGCCACTCAAACTGCCGCTGGGTCCGTGTCACCCAGATGAAGTAGATCTGGGGACACATGGCTGGAGCTTAGGACCTAGCTCATCTCAGGCTCCCCATGTCCCAGGGATTTCCACATCAATAGAACTCTTCTGGTCTGGGCCAGCTTGTGCCTCTCCCTAGATAGCCTGGGAAGAGGGAGTGTATGGGGCCACAGGGCCAGGCTCTGGGGTAGGAGATGGAGTTGCCCCAGGACATGGAGAAGTGAAAGTAAGCAATAGCCTGGGGCAATTAGAAAGGACCCTTGTCAAGTGAGCTGATGGGGTGGGAAGCAGCTTTTTCATGCTAAGCCTGCCCTGCCACTCCCTCCATTGGACCTTCCTCAGGCTGCAAGGCTCCCACCCAAACCTAGCCCAGAAAGAGAGGGTCCCACTATGGGTGTGTCACAGAATAGCCTCAGGGAAGACCCAGCTGCCTACCTGGAACAGAGGAGAATGGGCTCAAAGAGAGACCAGGGGGATGGAAGCCCCCCTGGGGGGACCCATCTCTAGCTTCTGATGAGGAGAAGCAGGGCTGCATGGGTTAAGAAGCAGATGCAGAGCTGGCACTGAAAGAGGAGCAGGGGAGCTATCTGTCACCCTCTGAATGCTGACAGCATATGGGCTAGGCCTCTGCCTGCTGCATTCCTGTGCCCCTGACTCACCTGCCCGGCCCCGAGAGACAAGCAGGGGCCTGCCACCAGATCCAGGCTGGGGCAAAGAGGCCTGGTGTAGAGGGGGCCTAAGGGCCTGGGCTGTGTTCCTGGAGCCAACCTGGCCCCCAGCCCTGCCTCGCCCCTCCTCTCTTCTTCTCCTTGAAAGCAGAGCCAGCTTTGCTTGTGCCCCACCCCACGTGTGCCCTCCCTCCCCCAGCCCGACAGTGCTTCAGTGCTGGCCTCCTCTGTAAGAGGGAAACTTCACTCCTCTCTAACCCTGCCTGGAGGGACTCCCAGAAGCAAATCCTATGTGGGGTACCCCATAACTGAGGGAAAAAGGCTGGGGGTATCAGCAAACCAACTCTGTCCTTTAGGGTCTGGGGATATCCTGATCTCCCTGGGGTCAGGCCAACTTGGCCTTGCCCAGATCAGGGAGGCTGAGAACAGATACAGGAGAGACAGGCACAATTGGACACAGTGATAGGGAGCAGGGGGCATGGGCTGGTGGGAGGAGGGGGCACGCACCTTCTTACAGAACACTTGGCAGCTGACTGATGACTTGAAGACCAGGTCTTTGAGGATGGAGGCAAAGGGGGTGACGCCAATGCCCCCTCCCACCAGCACTGACACCTCAAACTTATGCCACTCTTGGTGGCCCTCTCCAAATGGTCCATCAAGGTACAGCTGCAAAGGGGGGAGTAGGTTTGAGTTAAGCTAGTTAAGTTCTGAAGCCAGAAATGGGAGGCAGGAAAAGCAGGTCTGTTTACGGAGTGAGGGGGAACTGAGGGGACAGTGGCATTATCTGGAACAACCAGTCTTTGGATGGGGGGAGGGGAGGAACACAGTGGGGAGTATGGTGCTGCAGGGCCAAGGCCTGATAGGGGATGTGGGAGCATGTGGCACATGTGGCCTGGGTCTGGGCACCTTTGGGTATTTGGCACAGC